TGTTTTAAACTGCTTTTCACGTTTTCTATTAAAAAACACTTATTTTATCAAACACTACCAACATTTACTGTTTCATGATCATTTTTTCTCAAATACTATCAACTTTTACTACTAAGCACTTTTCCCAAAATTACTTTAAAAATCACTTTTTTAAAGTAGAAGCAATCGCAAATACTCCCTAAGAGGGCCGGGGTTCTCGCTAGAACCCTCCCCAGTCTCTATAATGCAAGTATGTGGTTAAGTGTTTTTGTGTATTTTCAAATTGGAATGCCACTTTGAGAGAGATTTGGGCCTTTGTCCAATTGTCCCCCTCTCTTCATTGTACACTCCCTTAATATTTATTATATTGTGGTAAATGTTTTCCGGCATTTACTCACTGATTTTGGTAATTTGCTTACCGGGTTAAAAAATGTATTCATAATTAATTATTCTGGAAACAATCTACAATAATATAGTGTTTGTTACATGAATTGACGAAGTGGTTAAATTATTTAGAAAATTAAATTTATATAATTAAATGGAATTGATAAAATAGAAATAAAGAAAACACCATTCAAAACCACACAAACATGTGGTTAATATAACTTAGCGCTATTTTGGGCATGAAATTTGGATCCAAAGGGGCCACTTCAATTTGCTAGGGAGTACTTTATATTGATCTCTCTCATAATTGTGCCAAGTTTGGCCGGTACGTAAAAATGTGAAATAATAAAATAAAAATTGTATTGTTGAAGTTTGTGTAGTAGATAGAGAAATGAAGAATTAAAACACAAATTAACTGATTAAAAGTGAAAGTAGTAAAGTTTTTTGAATAGCAAAAAGGGGAAGATGACATAGTTAGAATGGAAAGATGCACGATGTATTTTATCTGTGTGTGTATAATGTTACTGATATATGCAAGTAAATAATGTACAAATCAAAACATTTCATTTATTTTCCTACAAATGTTTCTAACAAAATGCATCTTATGTTTTAAAACGAACGAAATACATACTAACACAACTAATATGACTACACTTGAAAGGGGACTAAAAACTAAAATGTCATATACAAATAAGCATACTAAACACACATACACACAACCAATTTATATGCTACAACTTGAATATACTTTTATCCCGTGCACGGCACGGGTATAAATACTAGTTTTTTTAAAAGCAGAAGCAGTTGCAATACATCGTGTTAAAATTACATACGGAGTATCATTTAAAGTTCAGGTATTTAGGCCGCTAATAAGGAAGATGCAATCTCTATCAAATCCGCATTTAAACAAATAATTAGAATTATGTGTTCTTTAAGGATCTGCTCTACACATTCATGGGAAACACAAAGAGTGCGGCATTTTGGGAACAAAATCTGCATCACTGGACAAATGACAACAATAAAGAGTGAGGTAAAGTGGATTAAAGAAGAGCATAATGGAACAAACATAAAGGCTAAAGTTATTAGGATCTCCATTTGCTACACGGTCTATTGGGCGTGGAAAACAAGAAATGTTATCCGCTTTGATAGAGCCACGTCTAAAGTGGATTATATTTTGGCACAAATCAAGTACATGGTGTATAAAGTGCTCTATTTGATGTATCCGGTTAATATGATAAACTTTTGATACATTTGGGACTGTTTTCACCCATTTTTGTCACGGCTAGATGACTGATTTTTGGGATGGATGGCTAGCTTAGATGGTTAGCTATCAGGTTGATGGTTAGGGCATCCTTACTTGAGATTGCTTGGAGTTTTGCTTTTTGATCATATGATGTAGTGATGTACATAAACACTCTTGGATGATTTTATATATATTTACATTTCATCCAAAAAAAATGGGAAACACAGTATAAGGGTACACTAATTAATATTATTTGAAATTCAGGTGTTTTTGATTGCTAATAAGGAACAAATTAAATTCAGGCAATTTCCTAATATTGCTTTTTCATTGTATTTTTCTTCATGTGTACTAAGAGATAACGAGAAATGAAAATTAAATACGTTCTCCCACCGTCCCATTTTACCTGTCTTACTTTCCTTCTTGGGTTGTCCCAAAATAAGTGTCATCATTCCCTGTTTGGAAAGAAATATGTGGTTCACAACATTTCACTTTACTATACTCAAATCCTAATCACAAATTTTACCTTTTCAACCACTTTATTAAAAATTGTGTCAAAACCAAAAGAGACACATAAAATGGGACGTAGGTAGTAGTATTTTGTAGTAGCACTCTAATTGTTTCAATTTGTTACTTGGAAAAAGAGAAAAAAAAGGTTGAATTTAAATCACCAGAAACTGCACTAAAATTGCACATGTAAAATACCTGTTACGATTTGCTGGTGTGAAATTGGAAACTAAGAATTCAGTTCAATCTGTGCTTTAGTTCCAAATGAAGGATCAAGGGTGTAGTTTTTATTTTTTTATTTTTTATTTTGGATGAAAGTGGCTTACATATAACCCAAACCATTTGGAGAGTAAGAAAACAGACAAAATAACTTAAGACAACCGTCGTCCCGCGAACCAGAGTCGAGTCAATTACCTCAGTAATATAACTCGATGATCCAAAATTGGGCACAACTGAGCCAGTGACGGTAATCATAGTTACATCATCCCCACATCCAAATCCAAACGAATCGTTTTACAATCTGAAAAACAGTAAAAAAACCAAAAGGGAACACAAAATCTGTCAGAAACATAGAGCAAGCAACAAAAAAGAAACAATTTTCGTAAACTCGAACCAGCACACCACAGCACCATCGAGTCCCTTCCTGACTCAAAACTTCCCATGACGAGCTTACCCCTCTAAGCCTGTCGCCTCCCCATTTTTTGCACCATCCAGAGCCATCTCATCTGCATTCTGATTTTGAGTTGTCTCTATTTCCCAAGTGTGTTTGCGTTTCTCTCCCGAAGAATCTTCATTCTGTTTCAGAACCACTTCCTTATTGGAAGCACTACCCGAGCCAACTGAATCTTCATTATCTCCCAATGTACTTCCTCCCATCCCCTGCTCTTTCCTTCCCTGCTGATCCCTCCCTGAATTAGAGTCTTCCCCAATCAACCATTTATTTTTTCCTGTAGGTCTAGTCTTCACCCCACCTCCTACCCTAAGAGACGCATCAAAGTTTTTTCCAGCACAAGACCCTCTTCATACGTAAGCGGGCAAAAATTTTCAGAATGCCCCATAACCCCGCAAATAGAGCAAAAATTAGGTAGTTTCTCATATTGAAAATCCACCCAATAGCCAACTCCCTCTTTTTTCAGTGTTGTACCCGTCTTCAGGGAAAACTCCACATTAATACCAGCTCTAACCCGCATATACGGCCTCCATTGATCCCCATAATTATTTTTATCATAATCAAAGAATCTACCCAGAAAATTACCCACATTCATAGCAGTACCTAAATTCAACAAACCATAGGGAACATTATGAACCCTAACCCAGAATTCTGCTTCATTCAGAGTAATTTTATGAGGAATATCTGTTGGTTTGATTTCCTTCACAATTAATAAATTTCTCTCAAACTGCCTAGGGCCTCCATCAATCACATGTTTCATATCAACGGGGTGATCAAAGTTAAAATTATACCTTTTTTCCTCGATTTCCTTGATTTCCACCCCTCTGCCCGGCCTCCATACCGATGTCATCGCCTCCTTGAAGCCTGCATAGTTGATTTTCCGGTTCGTAATCAGTGCTCCAACCATCGAGAACTGCGGTCGAACCATCTCCCGAACCTCCTCTCCTTCCTCGGCATCATCGCAAACCAGTTCTGTCTCCCTCTCAGCCACCCTCATCCTCCGATATCTATCAGCTACGGACTACATCCGACTCGCAGCAATAAGCAGGAGATTCCCCTTTTCCTCAGTTTTCCTCTCAAAATCCGTGCTTCGTCCCTCGATTCAAACCCTCCTCCCCACATGCTTTAATAGTCTCGATCCTCCCTCAAATATCGATGCTTCCAAAGAGCCACCGCGCCTCGACGAAATCGCTAAGACCGGACGAAAGACTAGCGGCGCTTAAGCCCTAGTTTTTTTTTTTTAAACGAGTAAAATAATCTTCCAAAAAAATGTGTAAAATAATCTCCAAAAAAATACAAAGTTAGCTGAAGATCATATGCATATAAAGTCAAATATGTTAGATAGCATACAGAGCTCAAGCTCCCTCAGATAGAGGACATTTGACCAAACTTCATCGTCTTTCCTACTTAAAATTCACTTCATCAATTTCACGTTAGAAGCTCGACTTCAACAACTCTGTTATGTCGTTCATTTCCAAGTTTCCAACACACATCTTTGCCACATTACCAACTTCTATCCTAACATCCCCCTCCGTCACTAGTGATGGACCCGGGCCGGGTCGGGCCCGGGTCAGGCCTAGGCCCAGCGGGCTTTTGGGGTTTAAGGTGTAGGCCCGGAACTGGCCTGGGTATCTACCGGGTCCGGTCCGGTCCGGTTCGGGCCGAGCCTGGTTATATTTTTTTTATTGCTTTCCTAACTACCCCCACCCCCACCCCCCAACCCCCCAACCCCCCTAAAACACCCAACCCAACCCAGGGGGAACCAAAAAAAATTGAAAAAAAAAAATTGGCCCGAACCGGGCCTGGGCCCGGCCGGGTCACCTTTTCTTCAGCCTAAGCCCACCCCGCTAAACCCTACGGTCCGGATCAAAAGACCGGCTTGGGACCCGAAGCACCGGGCCGGGCCCGCACAGTAACAGGCCGGGCCGGTTCCCGGGCCAGGTGGCCCGAACCAGGTCCATCACTATCCGTCACCCTTCGCTTATTTACCGTTACATCTGCTTTAGAGCAACATGCTCTTGAGGGTAACTTTCAAACAGGGTGAGTTGGTATAAATTTGGGACGAAATATGGGCAATAGCTGGGAAATGGGAGTGAACATTTTCTATAATCAGACCGATTAATAATGGACAGTGCATATTCGGATTATTGCAATTAATTTTTCCAGATGATTTGTTGTAACTTATACTGAAAGTAAACTGATATTAGAAGCTTCCGTTCTATGACAAATGTTATCGGAATTGTGACGGATCTGGCTTTTTACCTTTTTCCAGCATTATAACAGAAGCCAGAGAAGTCAAATGCATCTGCAAGCCAGTAGATATGATCTTTATGTACATAACCAAAAATGCATACCCCGTGCTATAATGTAGCAGCAGAACGCTTTCTCAATTAAATGGGTAAAAAAGATACAGGGCTGAATAATGAGTGGAGCAACCAACTAATATTTGAACAAAACTGCTGCAGCCACTCTGCCCAATGTGAAACCTACAAGGCCCCCCAAAATCATGAGCAAAAATTGTGCGGAAAAAACACTTCTACTATACAAAAGCTAGACCCTAACATCAATGCGGTGAATTAGTTCATCTATATATTGGCACTGCCTCCAAGGAGTGATGAGACGTTCCGAAATTTCTGTGTCTACCATCAGCAACATTAGTCAGCTGAAAACCATGCTTGGGAAGTTGGTTTATCAGAAGTGTTTCCAGTTCGCAAGCTGCACTTTTTCCAGGGACACAAAAATAGAGGAAACTTGCCTTCTCCATTACCTCGTTTGAGCGATGAGCACGGATTCGGCCCCCGAGATCGTCACTCTGTGTTTGGTACACGGGAGAACATAAAAGAGATTGAGATCACTTTCATTATAAACAACTGTTTTATATCATGAACGATAATTTCTGCCATAATCTGTTGGTTTTTGCAAAATTTGAGGAAACATGCTTTAAGATATCCATGATCTATTCATTTTCTTTTTCACGAAATGTCAACTTAAACAAATAAGTTTGAAAAAGCCACCTTAAAGTAATACAAAATTGAAAATAGAAACACAGCTCCAGCCTCCAGGGTTAATGGAGATTTATAATTTAATAATGTAGAAAAAATGTGAAATGTACATTTTTTAGTGGGGTCTTGACACTTTCAAAAAAAAAAGTGGGGTCTTGACAAAAGTTAAGGAAAACTATAGGAATAAATATGACTATTTAAATATTCCAAGAGTGTTGCATATATGTAACTTTTAATATGTTACTCCTAATGACACCCCACCATCATCACTACCTCAACTCCAGTGACATCACCACATCCCATCATTGCCACTGCGTTACCAGTCACGGTAACCAGCAGCAGCAGCAGCTAACAACAACTGTTTCCATAAGACGGCTTCCGTCAAGGGGGCTGGAAAGGGCGGCGATGGCAGATGGGAAGTTGATGGGAGGGGGAGAAGAGAGATTGTGATAGATTTAAGTTTAGAGATTATTTAAGTAACTTTTATGTTCAAAATAATTTTCAGTCATATTTGTGTTCATCAAAACTCTTGGAGTAATATTTTAGTCATTGTTTATTTTTTATTTGCAAATGTGGATTATAAATTGGTCCCAGACTATAAAACATATTTGTGAATGTTAAAAGCAATTGGAACTTTGACATACCATAAGGCAATTATTTTAAAATAAAAGAACATACCTGGCCAACATAAAGTTTGTTATCTGGTCTAAGCATCACATATACAGTTGAAGTACCAATGGTCGATGGAGGGGGCTGTTCTCTCACAGAGATCATAAAATAATTAACAGCAAGTTCAGACGGGTGTTTCATCTTGTGGAGTTCCATTAACTTCTCCTGACAAATCGTGGTAATAGTATTTTCTAGTTCCTTCCAAATGATTTTCTTTATGTTTGATTTTCTCGTGGAAGACATGAACTCTTCTTTTGAACCATTGAATTTGTCAGCCACTTCATCACTGCTACTTGTATTGGGTTGAACAGTAAAACGATTTGGTTCTGAGGTTCTATTCGTTGAGGATGAACTTTGCATAAAATAATATGATTGGTAGAGCTGTTCAGCCCTACAAATTATCTTTTCAGGGATTCCTTCTCGCTGAGCGGTTTCAAAAGCAAGGCTTTCTCTACAGATTCCATCCACAAGTTTCCAATTCGGTACAGGTTGACCATCAATATAATCTGTTCCCATTGCTTTGCACACTGTCTTTTTGGTATTCAAATGCAAATCAAAGAGTCCATGCAGGTGGGTTGATACAATCCCCAAACAGCCTATCTCATCCAGAGTTTCTATAATACTGCCAGCAATACATGTTCCTTTTGCTGTTTCTGTTCCTCTGCATATTTCATCAATAAGTACTAGGCTTCTTGAAGTGCATCCATTAATTAGGGAACGTACTTCAGACATTTCAATCTGGACCAGCAATGTAAAACAAACAAAGTGCAAAAATAATCAACAAAACAAAGCTAAGAAACAATAATTGCACATCAGCGCATATATTCCTAATTGCAGATTTCCACCGTGTTTCTTGTCCAATATGTTTTCAAAAAATATTTACTTCGCCATATCTCAGTTTCTGTTACTCCATTTACGTGCTTCACAGTTCAAGAATAAAACATTACGTAGTATTACATTCTACGTAAGAAATTAGGTGTGGAGTGTACTGCACCTGGAATGAGCTTTTTCCATCAGCAGGGCTATCATAAGATTTCATGTGTAACATAATGGAATCAAAATGAGGAATGACAGCTGATTCAGCCGGAATCATGAATCCACATATCCCAAGCAATGCAGCAGCACAAATTGATCGTAGCAAGCTTGATTTTCCACCTCCATTTGGCCCGGTTAGCAGAAAAAGTGATTGCATATCAACTGAATTTTGTACAGCGCTGCCTCGCACTACATCAAACCAATAAGGGGATAGACCAGATATCTTCATCATAATAACCCCACCATGTGGCTTGCAGTCCTACATGGACAAGGTTGTTTTCTTATTTTAACTAATATACTTACTGAATCATGAAAGTTCATCAGTCCTTGCTAAGGCGATATGGTGATACTAAAAAGCGGCGCCTTTGGTTCATCAGTCACTCCTTAGTGGTCCTAGTATTGCTACAAACTTAATTGTACTGTGCTAATGCTAAGCAATATATAACAAATTTTACTTGGACAAGTATGCCACGTGGATTCAATAAAATCAGTAAGGCTTTAAAACCAAATATGTTATGAGATAAGAAAGAAAATTATTCCGAATTAATCCCCAAAACATAAGTAATTCACTTTTAGGTCCCCAATTACTAAAAGTTGTAGGCAAAATGGCAAATATCACTCATTGTGGCTCCATTATTAAGGTGGAAGTTTGAACCACGAAAATGAAAGCAAAATAAAATATGGCGGGGTGAAGAAAGTTGGAAGGCAAGCAAATTTAGAGACAGAAAAACAAAATCAAACTCAATAGATCAATTTTTAGATATATGTTCAAGTCCATCTAAGTATATGTAAAATGTTAACTATTTTAAACACATTTGGTTTTTTATTCATAGTTACTAGGGTAAAACAAGCATAAATAAATAATTTTAATAACCTTCCCAATTTTAATAGTCCCAAGTTACTAGAATGTTACCCATATTCAACAATTGGGAGACAATGCTGTCTAACGCTTATGATATCAATCTTATAGACTTTTCGATTTAATGTAAGTTATCCAATTACTAGGACGGCGTCATAAATACACATTCTATGCATCCTGGGTTAATTCGTGCTTTTGTTGAAGTGAATCCACATCTGCACAACGCCACACAACTAAAATTCAGGATAAGCTGGCAAAACATAATAGCGATAATACCTTGGACCCATGAAGTTGCATGAGGCTTGGGAAAATCCATTTCCTCCTCCTCCCTTCACTGAAAAGGAAACAAGGGAATACATGAATCAGGCTATATAGAGACATGATTCATGTTTGGTGTACCAATAAACCTTTGTACTGTGATGTTGATGATTGATGTAAATATAAGAAGAAAAGACAAATACTATCGTAATTTTCTTACCTCATAATAGAATATGATTACTATACGTACACATTACACAATAATAGTTCCTTGAGCGACCCAATTTTAAAGTATTGGTGACTCATTGAATACGAGTACATAGATTATATTTTTCTAAACACTGCTCCAGTTAGAGCATGCATAACAACGCAATATAATAGGCTCTAAACTTGCGACATATGTATTCATTCTAGGCCTTCTAATAGATTTAGTTAGTATATCTTCCCAGTATAATAATTCAATCCAATAACAGTGGCAATAGAAAATCTCATAACTTATATATGAAGCGGGTAAGTATACCAGGAGTATATCAATTTACAGATGGTCCCAGGAAGAGGAACATGTTGTTCACATAAGTAAGTTTACCGACCTCACGAGAGCAAACAAGGCCTTCGCAATTATAACAAGCATGGATGCAAAGACAATAATATTGATCTTAGTTTGTAATGCAGAAGAAAGCCCTCTAAGCAATTGCAGTACCTCCAGCTTGGCCTTAGCATTAGCCTCATGATACCTGAAACAATATCTGAAGTTTACAACTTACAGGGGAAAAAAACATTTACTGCAGGAAGAATACATGCAGAGCTTTTTATTGCATCTGAAAAACCTGCCTTGCTAATGCTTTCTCCACATTCATTGTGGTAAACCATTCATCCCCAACCTTCTTTCCCTTTGAGTCCACAGCAGGTTTCAGTCGTTTAATTTGATCTTCTCCGGGGGTCCCAGCCCAAACAGAAGGAATAAAACGCTTCCCTTTGAACCATACTGCCTGATGATCTCGAGCATACAAAATCTCCCCCTTAGGCCCTCCAAGTGGAGCATTCATGGCCTTTACTCTCGAAATAATAGGCAGGAAATCTTCTGTAACCTAAAAGCTCATTTAAACAGTTTTATCAGATTAGATGTCTCTCCTACTTAACTGCTTGAAACCTAGCACTTGACCCATGCTAATATTTGAATCATGAGCAAGCTTAGAACACAGAGATCCATAAAGGCTGTACAACTATGTTTTGCATTTGGATGTTCCACACAAATTGCATCATAGATCCTATGATTGCCCTACCGTCTTCACAAGTCTCAACTAAAAAAATCTTCTCATCCCTTTATTCCATTGTAAAGGAAAATTTTCAGATGAGCATCCCTTTTTTCAACAATTTCATTGAATGTGTTTGATGTAAAGACATGGCAACCGAAAAATGTAAAGAATTGGACTATGTAAAATATAAATGATGTGTACGTGTGTAACTTATTGTTACAGATCATGTAAATAGTAACTAATAAGTATGCATACAAGTCATATCGCCTATAGCTTTTCATGGTTAGTAATTTCAGATCATATGTAAATATAAGTCTTATTGTTTGTAATATTATAGTTAGTAACAATGAGAGTAAAATAAATTTTGAGTGCACAATAAGGAGATTCAAGGGTTACGGGTGTGTAGTGGATTAGTGTCTAATTGTCTATCAAAGATAAAATGATGAAGATCTAAATTTGTTGATTCAGGCACATCAGTTGTCTAGAAATGTTGCCATACGGAGTGTGGAGTCATGAAATATAGGATTCTGAGTCATGGTATGGTATCCCATGTGTTTAACAAGTAATATATACAACCTGTAATAGGCATTTAGAGGACACACAAAATATAGTACAATAACACATCAATGAAAGAATCTAGACAGCGAGAAAGATAGGGAAACTCGGCTCATATAAGCAGAAAATCCAGAGATACAGTTTCCTCCATTGAGAAGGGTGAAAAACTTACAACTAATGATAGGGCATCTGCTGCGCTCTCAACTTCTGCATATGCTTCCTCCAAATGAACCCTCTTGACACGGCCTTTCCATAAAGACTCTGTGTCTTCAAAAAAATCTTTAGGAATAATAGAAGAGGAACTTGTTTTCTGATCACTTTCTCCATCTAGAAAAATAAGTTCACCAATTGTACTAGACACATTCTTACATTCATTTACCTGTAATAAACATATAAAAAGATTCTAGAGACGTTGGAACATTATTAGCTTGCTAAAGAATAACACCCAAACAAGCATACAAGTCAGGATATGGAACATTCGTTTCCAGGACATATAAAGCATACCTAAACCAAAAGAAATATAAATGGACAAGGAAAAAGTCACTTGAGCATAAGATATATGAAATACCAAGTAAACATTGACTTCACCAAGATATATTATTATTGAACTTGCGAAATTCCTATTTATCTTCAATACTAATTGAAAAAAGAATTGAAATCAAGCATAATAATTGAATCCTAATTGTGCAACAAACCAATTGATTTGTAGAAAACAGCACTCATCTTAATCATTATATGCCAAAGAGGTTGTATCATCGATACTAAATTGCTTGTCGACTTGAAAAGTAATAATAATAGCATGACTTAAGCACCACTGAAATTTACAAGAGCTCAATGTATCAACTGAAATCCATACCATGGAAAATGCCAGGACCATCTAGGCAAGAATCCATAATTTTTTGGCTGTTTTTTTCCTTTTTTCTTTGTTTTTAGGAGATGGGGTGTGGGGTGGCCGTTTAGTGGTCTTTCCCAACATTATATCCATTCTTCATTAAGATTGGAAGCTAACGTAGAGGAGAAAACAGCAGAAGCAGCGATCCTTACCAGCAAATCAAAGTCAACTTTTAAACCAGTAGCCTCCCAAGTAGGATCTATCAGTAAATGTAGAATTTGAGCAAGTTCATTATGTTTATTCATCTGCAGTATTTCATCCAGCATAGTCTTTATTCTGCAAAACTCTACATGATTTGCTTCCCTCAACTCAAGCAACTTGGCAAGCTGCAAAAATAGCATGCCAATTAAAATGTTAGAAAAACTAGACGTGAAAATGTGCAAAAAATTTAGAAAGAAAAACCTTAGAATATTAAATAATAATAAGATCTCAAAACTATTAATGATGGGAAACAATTAGAAATCATTTTATTAGAACTGTAGAAGAAGTGTGAAGAGAATACAAGAGATGTCTTTGCATGATGCACAGCGGTTACATTTGTCTATCACAAAAAAAAACCTCGTTAATCCATGTTAATCAACACAAATGTTTCACTAAAAAAGAATTGAACTTTTGTGAGATACTTTCCACCAGTATTTTGTGCAATATAACATACTAGTAATAAATAGCTGATAACCATTGCAGAGGATCAACTAATGCTCTTCAAAGTAGCTTGACCACATATTCCAACAAAGTAATGAAAATTGAACAGGTGAATAACTTCAAAAGTAAATAAGGCCGATAATAGTCAAAGATGACATGTGCAATGAGTGGGCACAATGTGAAAATGAAAGGCTTAACAAAAATTGAAGTGTATTTGAATGCATGGATTTTGAAGAAATAAAACCTTAGGAAGTAATGAAGTACAACCTTTGAGGATGAGACACAAGTAAATTCAGGAAGTGAACAGGTTACGCTCATCATAAGTCGGCATGCTTCTGCAAAAACATACCCAACCTTACTACAGAGAATAAAAGTAGATATTTGTACCATGCACTTATATCACACATTCACACATAGAAAACAGTCAAAAACTAGAGAACATTCATAATCAATGTTCTTTCTCACAGTCAGACACTCAGACCCCTTTTACCATCACTCACCAAAAAATGATAATGCGAGAATCTAAAAAAGAAAGAAGAGCCCAGAAACCCAGTAACGCTTGAAGCAAAAAGGAACCCAATTGATATTATAACTATTATTTTTATTAAATAATTAAAAATAATAGCAATTGATAATTTAGTCATAATAACAAGCAACTATTACTAATAGTTTTAATAATAAGCAACAGAATTCAGGCACATACATACTACATATACTCCATCCCTCACAACACGAGCAAAACCCCAAAGGAGAAGAGTAGCATGCCCTAAATAAACTATGAAACGAAGGAAGAGTTTAGGAATAAAAATTCAGAATATTTGAAGGACACACCCATAAATAATATTTACTCTCATCACCCCATATTGTAAAAAACTAAAAATGTAAGATAGGTTTGACACGAATTCACAGATAATAAAAAAGATAATTGTTGCCTTGCATTTGTAGCATTTAAAAAAAAAAGATGAAAAAGTAATATGGGTCCCCAAAAGGTAAAAGGCGAAAGGGTAGATAAAAAGGGAATACAATAGAAAAGTAAAAAGTTAGTAGATTTCAAATTAAGGAAGTGATCATAATTATGGGATCAACAAAAAAAGAATACCAAAAAATAAGAGAGAATTAAAAAACTAAGAAATCGTGTATGCAGGCATACACAGAATATATTTGGGTTGAGAATTTTGTGAAATCGTGCATACAGACATACGAAATACATCTGGATGTAGTGGAAGGATAACTTTTCGAAAAGTTGAATGTAAAAATCGAAGCATGATAAGGTGCTGCAAATTAACAAAAAAAAACACTCTCTTATACTACGTATTACTTAAATACAAGTATATGTTTCATAATCATATGATGCTTGGATTGAGAATTTAGTGAAATCATGCATACAGACATATGGTTTATTTGGATAGAGGAATTAGAGAGGGGGGGGGGGGGGGAGAACATTATTAAAAGTTCAGTGTTCAAAAAACAAAGTGTAATAAAATGTTGCTAATTAAAAAAAATCATGCACTTGTAATACATATTATCATCATAAAAATTTAGTATCATTTCTCCAGTTTTAGCTTCGAACTTTAAAAAATATCCCTCCCTTTCCCTATTCGAATCCCTCAGAAAAACATTTGGAAGCCTCACACTGTTAGTATCAGTGATCTAGGTAACCTCCAGACAGTGCAGAACAAAGACATAATTTTTAGAAACCGAGGCAGTACGTTGTATATTGGATGCAATCTCATATGCAGGTGGATTCAAGAGCAGATTTCTTATATACCTGAAAGGAAAAGAATAACAAAATAAATTCAAAGATACCCAACATCCAGTGTCACTATAAGAGACATGAAAATAAAGAAATTATACGGAAAAAGAAAACATAAAGGCCAAATATGGTGAAAACATCAAGAGATGGACAAAAGTAGAAAGTCAAGAAGTAGTGTGAAAGTCAAGAGATGTACAGTTGTACCCTTAGTTATACTTATTCGTGGATGGAATAAAAATAATAGCACTCCCTTCGTCATTTAAACATGTGAGGCTTCAACGAGGTCAAGTCTTTCTCTCTCTTTATAGTCTTCTCAGCAGACAGGGGAAGAAATTTTCTCTCCCCTTCTGCTCACAAACTCACGCACAATACATCTTGGCAAAGGAAGTTAAGACCTTTTAGAATGAGGCTAAATTGCTAAAATCTCTTCGTATTTAACTTTTACAGTTGTCCAATTACACATAATAAAATGGCAGTTGATCCATACAAGATTACAGCAAAGTTTGAAAAAAATAGAACAAGAAACTTTGTCTAACCCGAAAGTTTTGCGAAATGTTTGTACATTTTGCAAAAGTTTTTCATTTAGCAGGAGGACCAAGTCCAACCCTTTTTTCTTTGTCAATGCATGAGCATTATTTCTTTGTGGAAAAATTATGATTACTTTGAAAAAATTACTCTCCTACAGCCTCATTATAACAAATCACAGTATTCACAAGTAATGCATGTGTAGAAGAATGAAAAGCATTATATATACTCAGTCCATACAACTCAAGTGTTCTCACTCAATATAAATCTGATACTTATTGATAATTACTTTCTATCTCAAAATAAAGGGTAGCTCTCGGAGTGAAGAACTACATGTTAGAATATAAGAGGTCAAGATTTGTTTATACGAAAGGTTTGAAAAAGGATAATAACACATCTTTAGGGTACTCATAAGTCATTAGAGGTTATCATATTGGTAAGATAGGATAAGACCAGTTGCACTGAATATACTTCCCACTTACAGGACAGGTAGACCTGTGCAATGTGCAGGAAGCAACACCTTTAGCAAAGAAGGAATTCCTTCAGTCGGAATAGCACCTAATCATACGATTCAGCATAGCTGTTTTAGTACACAATCACACAATGATAATTCATTCACTAATAATATAAATTATTATAATTTGAACTTGTACCTATCTGGGTAGCAGTTCCTAGGTGCAAAGGACGGGGTCTGTTTTCTGATGCAACAGTAGCATTTCTAAATGTGACGTTAAGATCAAGACCATAAATTTCCTTCACCTGAAAATTTGGTGTTTAGTGCATGAAAGGTGGACATGGCAGACAAAAAATGCACAAATAACCACTCAATTATTCAATACAGACCTTAGACAAGAGCTCATTGGTTAGATCACCATCCAACCACTCATAGTTTCTTGCATTACATTCTCCCCACAACAGACCACCATTACCAAACTCCCCCCAGCGAGAAGTTCCTGCAAGAAAATCTCAAACATAATGACAAAATCTTCCAGCATGACGAAATACTCAAATACTGAACAAAATAATTGAATATTTGGATAGACAGACCAAATAGGTGAAGCAATACTATGAACTATGTCACAGAATGAAACTGATAATCAAGAGCACCGGTCAAGGTAATTGACTAATTGTTGACACAGTCTATCAATATTCTCAACAACTTTAATGCAATGAAAAGTGAAAACCCACCCCTAGATTTTTAACATTTGTTTGGATTGGTTACTCAATGGTAACAAGAATGCTCTGTTTCAAAAATATTAACATTTGAAATAAGAAAAAACCATTCAACCACTTGGAAGACAAAGAATTGTAGGGTTCTAGACTTCTAGCAATACTCTCTGCCTATACAGTGATGATGCTAGACTGTATCCAGAATCCCAATTAGTTGCAACTCCGAATGGATAAGACTAAAGTACGTAAAAGAAGAGAGTGACATCGCAAACCTGATGAATTGTTTTTCAATGAAGTATGCAAAAATAAATGATGGCACAAAGTAGTCCGAAGCTTAGTAACCAAGGCTTCCTCAGTAAGCCCATCCTCAGTGGAGTAGGTCTTCGTAGTTTCCATAACAGATGTGATGCAATACCCCTTAGCTGAATGAGATATTCCTAGGACCACAAGTTAGTACACTCAATCTAATCAGTCTAAAGTCCCACAAAACTAGTAATGATGTATGACTGGAATATTGGCAAATAACAATAAAATAACACTCCATCCGTCCCTTATAACTTTGCCAAGTTTGACTGGTATGTGGAATAATAGGAACTACAAAATAACTGCTTAAAAGGGGAGGTGGATGGTTTAAAAGCAAACAACAAGAAAGATGGCAAAGTTATAAAAGCAAATAAAAGCAAGTCATAGTGGATATTTTAGCATACCAACTACTGGCATTGGTTCTGGAAAATCAAGATCGTGATCATCTCCAACAAGTCCAAATACGTAAGGATTGCCAGGATGTGCATGCCTAAATGATTATAAATTTAAAAGTGAGAGTTATATCTTCAATAAAAGTTGATTAGTATTAGGCATTTAGGCAGTTAACCAGCCACTATAGATAGATATGGTTTTCAAGAAATAACAAACATATTGAAGTTGTTGCCACTTGTTTGGTGACCAGTTACTTCCTGAGATCAATTGTTGGTGCCTAAATGGTGTGCCTTTCTTATGATGTTATACACTTATCATCCCCTCCTCTCCTTTGTTCTTGTATGGTCTAACAATTGTAGCCCAGAGCCATAAAACACCCGACATAAAAAAAGGGGCATATAGAATGCTGTGAGAGAGTAATATCAAAGAGATTGGAAAGTAATAATCTATATGAGTATAACTTATGCAGCATAGAAAATTAATCCAACCCACCATGCCCACAAAGACAAAAAAACATATTATCAAATATGCTGGTGGATCCATGTTCCTTCATATTTCTAAGAACCTTTGATCCAAATACCAGTTTCATCAAAAGAAAAAAAATCATTCTGAATGAACGGTTAAAAGAGTATGAGGCTATGAAATGTATTCTCTACATGCAAAGTTAAACATAAATGATAAATCAGAAATAAACTACATCATTAGGTTACTGCACTAAAATTAGAAAGTATTAGGGTATAGATGGTTCCACAAGCAAAAAAATATGTGATATTTCCACCTCATTTTTGTCATGTTGAGCAAATATGGAACAGATGATTCTTTTCCAATTATAGCCAGAATAGCTGCAAACCTTTAGATTAAGATTAAGATTACAACAAGAAACTGTGATTTAATAATTACCCAGATATAAAGCGGCTTTTACGAGAACGAGCTTGAGTTGGGCCTTGAACTTCCTCAACAATGCACTGTAATTCAATAAAAACAAGCATGGTAAATTGGTAACAAAGAAATGGAATCAGTATAACTAGCAGTAAAACGCAGCCCGCCATAAAGTAGTACACTTGTGTTATGGTACTTACAACTGAAAATCCATTACTTGTCAGGTCATCCAAAGTCTGTCTAAGATTCTGAAGAAGAAACAGCAAGTCGAACATATAAAGAAAGAATGACAAATTGATAAAGCGTAAGTATAAATTAATAGACAATTGAAAGGGAAATGCAAAAAAAAACACGAAAGGGAGAATGTCTGGAGACTCGTACATACTTTTAGTAGCTTTTGAAGTAAAAAACAAGAGCACTCTATGATTATTAAAATCTTATTTTCTCGTTTAGACATTTAGTAGCCCTATGTATGACATAAGTCAATCATTTCAAATAGCAAAAGAAGCTGATTAATACAATAAATCTATAACCTACATGGCTATATTTGATTCAATTTCTCTGTACAATGTTAAAAAAAATAGTGGCAACAGTCCCATTTGTATTATATATAACGAACAATTTTGAAAGGGAGAAAATGTGTATGGAGGAATAATAATTACAGTACCATAACAGGACAGCCAGCTTTCGGTATGCCGTCTGAACGAAGACCACCACATGGATTTAAACCAGCATATTCCACAAGGATACAAGCATCAAAACCTACGGCCTCATAAAACTCACCTACCTGGAAATAACAGAACGACATGAAATCATCATTATTACCATCTGATACAGGAATCCAATATGAAGTTATAACTTTCCTTAGACATAAAAGTTGTAAGAGAAGAAGTTATATTTGCATACTCTGCAGAGCAAAACCTCACGAGGAAATCTAGACTTGAACTGCAACATCTCCCAATTAAGTGTTCCTTCTTTTAAACTGCAACAAACATAAAATTTTCGTGGTTTAAAACTTAATTGATCCTTTTCCAATTTCCATAACAAAAGGAATAATTGAGTGAAGCGCATAAGGACTTAGCACTACTACATGTAAAGGGGTGAAAGTGTAATGTTCACAACGACATATGAAAAAACCCACCTCCCATTCCTTAAGTCTGAATTTACACCCAACAAATTAGAATATGTGAGCCTCTTAACTAGTTTAATGGAAGAAGGCTTTCTCGACCTCTCCACTGTCTGAAATATTAGATCAAGAATATGAAGACAATCGGCATTATAAAGATGAGTGTGTTGTATGTTGAACAAACAGATTGCAGAAACAGTTAATGAAGCAATTCACTCATGAATCATCTAGCCTACCTCCTTCCACCACATAATGTGAGCATAGCTCTTTTCTTCAGGTACACTCTCTAAGTGCCTGTTTGTAATTGCAGACGTTGCATAAAGCTTTCGCCGGTTGAAGCAATGAATCTGGTCACTCCGCCAAGTGCTAAAAATATATTATAGCTTGACATGTATCAATTATGTTTTGCATTAAGCGATGAAGAAAACAAAATTACAATTACTAAGTACTGACACTTATTGAAATGATATAAACTATACATGAGATTATATTGACTCTTCAGTTATCACAGAGACACAGAATATTAGAATAGTACATGATCATTACTTCTCTTAAATGATCAGTGATCAGATATTGATATATGGAGTAGTACAATTTCTTAGGAATAATTGAGTCACTTATCCTCCACCTTAAAAGGATATACGGAGTATCATACAATAACCAACCACTTCACTGAATCTGCAATAGTATGTACTACGTATTACTTTATTCGTTTTGTAAACTTTTCCATTGGCGAATGAAAGTGATTGGACTACGTGTCTGTTAGAGATTCTAATGGCAATGTTTAGGAAAGGGTGGAACAGAACGCATTTTTCTGCTCTGAATGAAATTAAGTTCTAACATGCAGGGGTGTACTTCCAAAAACATTTGAAGAAACCAAGGGACAAACACCAGCATATTAGCCAATGAGCAACACTACTTCAGCAGTTCATCCTAGCATATAATGGCTCTTGCCTACTACTGGCTCACACTTCTAGTGCACTTTTTGTTGTTTTACTTCAAAAGCTACTAAAGTATGTACTAGTCTCCAGGCATTTCCCCTTTCATGATTTTTGTTTTTTTTTTTTGCATTTCCCTTTCAATTGTGGCTATTAATTTATACTTACGCTTTATCGATTTGTCATACTTTCTTTATATGTTTGACTTGCTGTTTCTTCTACAGAGTCTTAGACAAACTTTGGATGACCTGACAAGTAACATTACACTTACCTAAATGGTGCTCAAGACATCATTAATTTGACCATCTATTGCCTCTTGCCTTCAATTTTTTTTGCTCTTTTCTAATGTCTTACTTGACCACCTTTTTATCTATTTAATTCATTACCATAAACCTATCTTCACGTTAATTAACATACAACTATCTTCACAACACACTTGGTCACTTTGCAACTCTTCTATGCACAACATTGTCTGCACACACAAAGCCTTGCATATCACATCTGTCCCGTCATCCCTTCCCCCACACTGCTGCCAAAGTAAGACATGAAGCCATAATGAGGTTTTGCCTCCACTCAACTCTGAAGTTCTCAGAAATAATTAATCTCCTTGAGAAAATGCAAGTCAAATGCACATTTCTATAGCTCCAATTTTTAAGGTTGTTGCCTGACATACTGACAGACACATATATCCAAAATTTAGGCCATTGAATCTAAAAATGTTATAATGAAAATATCAGAGGTTTGGATATGCTACAATAGGCGTAACCGCATAAATTTAAAAGCTTGAGCTTCTTTCCATCTCGGGTCCAGGGAAAAAAGTACCGGAAATGTGAACAAGATTGCAAATTTTTTAAAAAATGATTTCACTTTCTGAAGCAACCAATGCAGAGATTCTTCGTGAATCAATTTGAAATGGTGAACTCAGAGAAATTCACCAGCTGAGATTATATGTTGGAAGAGGGTGATTCTCACATGGGAAAATGCGGGGAGGAAACCGAGCAGCAGTAGCGGTGGAGAGGCGGCCGGAGAAAGTGGAACAAATACCGCCAGCCAGAGACTGATACGACGACGTTCTTTGCTGTTAACCGGGACATCGCGTTGCTGGTTTTTAGGAGCATAAAGTATGAGAAGCTTGAAGAGAATGCGGTGTTTTTGTTCTTCCCGCCAGAAGAGAGACTGAACGTAAGTACGATGAAGGTGACGGCTCCGCTGTCGGCTAACTGTTCCCTTGAAGAGACGAAGTCATTTAAAAAACTAAATTGCAAAATTTTTAGATGTACTAAAAACTTATTCTAATTCAGTTTTAGTAAGTGTTTGGATCTGATTCTAAAATTATTTATGCTCTTTTAGGGAGCAGAAATAAAAGTTGAAGTGTTTGGGTGAAAGTGTAGAAGTATTCTTGGTGCTCTATTTACTCCTAGAAGCTGGGAAAGACCAACTTCTAAAAATTGATTCTAGTTCAGATTTTAAAAAGAAACAGAAGCAGAATCAGTTCCAAACACCCCCTAAAAAAGCACTTTTTGAAGAGATTTTGGAGAAAGTGATTAGTAGTAATAAAAGTTGTTAGTATTTGAGAAAAAATTATTTTGAAAAAGTAAAGTTGGTAGTATTTGGTAAAATATGTGTTTTTTGTGTAGTAGAATAGGTAAAAAAAACATTTTTCAGACAAAAGCTGAGAAACGCTTTTTTAGTAGCAATTGTCACTTGAAAACATTTTTTTAGCTTTTTTAAGCTAAAAGCCGAGAAATATAGAAATTCATGATAGTCACATATCTATGCATTATACTCCGTATTTGGGAGAATATTGGTATATTCAACCGAAAACCCATTTTGTGTGTTCTGTACTTCTATAAATATGTCTATGCATATAATAGTCCTTCGACTTGAGACCAATACTTATTTCATGCGTAGAGTGAAGCGCATTGACCTTGACTAACGCTTATACTCTAGTCAATGTAAAGTCTCAATTTAGGATGTGTAAGGTCGAAATTTCTCTCCATGTTCCTTAATGATCTAGACATCAATGTTGTGAACAAATTTGTCTATTTCAGCGATAGTAGCTGATGGAGTATATGGCCCGGGAACCCCCGGCCCACAGACTCCTACTAATCTATCACAAGCCCAAGGAGCTCAGGAGGCCCAAGATTCGGCGGCCCAAGCGTCAAGAAGCCCACAGTACACACAGGGATGCCTTCGGCCTCCTTGGCCGAAGGCTCCAAAACTCACAGAACCGCCATATTCGACCATGCGAAGCTACTGGGAGAAAATGACAGAAAACAGGAGCCTTCGGCCATACATGAAGCCTTCGGCCACACAGGGAGCCTTCGGCCATACATGGAGCCTTCGGCCACATATGGAGCCTTCGGCCACACATGGAGCCTTCGGCCACACATGGAGCCTTCGGCCACACATGGAGCCTTCGGCCACACATGGAGCCCTCGGCCACACATGGAGCCCTCGGCCACACATGGAGCCCTCGGCCACACATGGAGCCTTCGGCCATACATGAAGCCTTCGTCCATACATGAAGCCTTCGGCCATACATGAAGCATTCGGCCATACATGAAGCCCTCAGCCATACACGATGCCTTCGGCCATACACGATGCCCTCGGCCATACATGAAGCCCTCGGCCATACATGAAGCCCTCGATACATGAAGCCTTCGGCCACACAGTGCCTTCGTCCCCACAAAGCCCTCGGCTACGCGAGGAGCCTTCGGCTAAACGGACTCAATCATCGAAGATTCCCTTTGGAGACAGCCAACCACCGCATTTAATGCGACGTCACATCCACCCACCGCATTTAATGTGGGGAACGTGCGATGGTCGGTGCCACCCCGATTGATGTGACCCCTCGGCCGTTGGATTACTGACACGCGTACTCTCATCACATTTATTGCTGCTATAAATAGCAGCCCTTATTCTCCTTGTAAACCACGCTGAGTTCATTTAATAAAATCGACTCTCTCTCCTCCTATTTACTCCGACTTCTCTCTAAATTATTCCCGCAATAACCCCTCGGATAAGATACCCCCCGGGTAGACTATCCATCATTTGGTGCTCTCGTTGAGAGGTCAGAACAATCAAGTAAGAAACCCTCTCCTTCACCAAACAAAAAACACCTACCAAAATGGGAAGAACACATCAAGTGAGTCCCTCCCGATTCACTATCCGAGTGGGAGGACGTATCTCCCGTCCAAAGTTCCCTCGGCCAAGTTGGAACTCCTTGGTCAGAGCTTGGGTTCGTCACTTCCCTCTTGAGAGGCCCCCAATTGTAACCAAGGTGGCGGCTGCTCCAGAAACTCCCAAATCTGAGACCCACCCACCCAGTCAAAAGCTCTCGGCGGCCCTCGGCGATGCCACTTGGTGCCCTTCGGCGGCACGACGCGACGCCCTTCGGCGGTACCCCTCGGCCATCGGCGTAAGGCCCCCATCACCATCCCGTGAGCACATTGCAACCCTAAACTCTTAGCCAAGGTCAAGTTCAAGGAAGGAGGGACCCTTCGGCCAGATGAATTCCTCCTATCTACAGGCCCCAAGCAGCGGTTATACTCTATCACTATCGCCACTCGTGATTTATTAATATATATATGTATATATAACACCTTAAGAAAATTTTTCAAAATAGCCTCTTTACCCTAAGCCCAAGGCTTTAGAATTAATCAAGCTTCTCACGGCCCAAGGCCGAGGGGCGAATATATCGCCTCTTAATAAAAAATTTTGAGGACCTGAGAGCCTCATGCAAGCTGTTCTTTCTCCCTCGCCACCATCCCAACCTAGCCCTCCGCGTTAGGCGCCGAGGCCGAGGGGCGAGTATATCGCCGACTACACCAAGTGTTGTAGCCATGAGGACCTGAGAGCCTCATGCAAGCTGTTCCCTTGAGGATGCCCTCATGCATGATTGTACATACACATAAAAAACTGAGGGGACAATACCCCTCGGCTCCGGCAGATACCAAGTGCCCTCGGCCATTTGTGTTTCACAAAATAAAACCCTTCCTTGAAACGCTTTCCGCGCCATTCCCCAAGGGAGTGACAGGCAACGGACTATGTCCCGGGCCGAGGAAACGACTCTCAAACCCTCGGGGTTCGGAAGGACAACCCCCACCAATATATTTGCTCACCGGCCCAAGGCCCCCTCTTTCTCCAAAGAGCATATGAGCGGCCAAGCCCTCATCACTCACCAATCAAACGGCCCAAGGTCCCATTCTTCTTATGAGGATGGATTAAGGGCCAAGCCCTCATCTCCTTACCAAAATGTTGACTCACAGGCCAAAGGCCCCATCTTTTTCCAAGAGAACGTATGAGCGGCCAAGCCCTCATTTCTTCGCCAAAATAGGCCCAAGGCCCCTTCCTCTCATGAGGAGGAACAACTATTTAGGTACCAAGTACCAAGTGTATGGGTCACCCCCATCACTCTTTGAAAACACCAAGTGTTTTCTCACTAAGCCGTACCCCACGAGGACGCAACCATGCATACATTATGCATACTTTTACATACTCTCATTAAAAAAAAAAAAAAAAAAAAAAAAAAAAACGGGGGGTGCAATACCCCTCGGCGCCGGCTGGTACCAAGTGCCCCCGGCTATTTGTGTCCCACACACAAATAAAACCCTTCCCAGGAACGCTTTCCGCGCCATCCCCCAAGGGGAGGCAGGCAACGGACCATGTCCCGGGCCCAGGATTCGACTTCCACAAACGAAACGCTCCCCGCGCTATCCCCCAAGGGGAAGCAGGCAACAGACCATGTCTCGGGCTGAGGGGACGACTTTCAAAACCGAGGCGCTTTCCGTGCTATCCCCCAAGGGGAAGCAGGCAACAGACGATGTCTCGGGCCGAGGAAACGACCCTCAAACCCTTCGGGATATCGGAAGGTCATTCCCGAAGGGGGAGCCAACGGTTTGCTCCGTCGCCTCCCATATAGGCCAAGCCTTTCCTTGAAACCAAGTTTCTTGATGCCCCTCCTACAACATGCAAAAAAAAAAAACAAAAAAAAAAAAAAGAAAGAAAAAAAGAAAGAAAAAGATGTGTAGGGGGGAAGGAACTCCCCGGATACTTTTCTCCCCGGAGGCTCAACAACAATCCAGAGATACATTCCCGAAGGCTATTTCTAAAGATGCAAGGAAATCTCTAAATACAAAGTCATTCGACTACATGTCCGAAGGCTCTACTACATGAAGGTTCCACTGCAAGGAAGAAGGCTCACCAGCAGACTTCACCAAAATTTGGCTGTCCAAAACTACAAGCCCTCGGCATTACCTCTCCCAGGAGCCTTCAGCCTCAAGGAGGGCACAAGAGTCTTGAACCCTCATGTCGCACGGAAGCTTTCAGTCATGAGCCTTCAGCGTATGGCCTTCATGCCATCGCCCTCATGACCAACGCGTGGCCTTCATGCTGTCAGCGCCTCCATCATCAGGTTCCAACCTTCATATGGAAGCCCTCGGTCATGCGCCCTCAGCGAATGGCCTTCATGACATCGCCCTCATGACCAGCGCGTGGCCTTCATGCTGTCAGCGCCTTCATCATCAGGTTCCAACCTTCATATGGAAGCCCTCGGTCATGAGCCCTCAGCGAATGCCCTTCATGCCATCGCCCTCATGACCAGCGCGTGGCCTTCATGCTGCCAGCGCCTTCATCCTCGGGTTCCAACATTCATACGGAAGCCCTCAGTCATGAGCCCTCAGCGTATGGCCTTCATGCCATCGCCCTCATGACCAGCGCGTGGCCTTCATGCTGCCAGCGCCTTCATCCTCGGGTTCCAACATTCATACGGAAGCCCTCGGTCATGAGCCCTCAGCGAATGGCCTTCATGCCATCGCCCTCATGACCAGCGCATGGTCTTCATGCTACCAGCGCCTTCATCCTCGGGTTCCAACATTCCTACGGAAGCCCTTGGTCATGAGCCCTCAGTGCGTGGCCTTCATGCCACCGCCCTCATGACCAGCGCCTGGCCCTCATGCCAGCGCCTTCATCATCGGGTTCCAACATTCATGCGGAAGCCCTTAGTCATCAGCCCTCAGCGTGTGGCCTTCATGCCACCGCTCTCATGACCAGCGCTTGGACCTCATGCCAGTGCCTTCATCATTGGGTTCCAACATTCATGCGGAAGCCCTTGGTCATGAGCCCTCAACGCGTGTCCTTCATGCCACTGCCCTCATGACCAGCGCCTGGCCCTCATGCCAGCGCCTTCATCCTCGGGTTCCAACCTCTAAACGGAAGCCCTCGATCATGAT